CGAAATTTAACAAAAGTTTTTTGTTTATAACTCTTAAATGGTATTAGCCCTTCCCCCTCCAGATTGTTAATAGGGGGGCCGGAACGCGTCGTTTGGTACCCCTCCCGACTTTTCCGGACCTTTTTTAGGGGTTGTTAACCTACACTAGAGAATTACCATATATTTTTGAAATAAAAACACCACCTTGTACACCAGAAAATTTCTTTAAACCATCTTGCGCAGCAGTTGATGTTCAGCCCTACTCTGCATTTCGATTACGTTCCCGCATTTCGCACCGCTGGAATCGAACTTAGGTATTCTGCGTTACAATCGAAACGAAAGAAGAAGAGGAAGATAGAAAACATCTTTCGAAATCAGCTGTTTGCCTAGGAATGTGTGAAATCGAAACAAAACAAAGAAATATTTGCCACCAAACTATAGCAGCATATGAAGTTAAAGTTTGTAAGTATTTTAAAATAACTAAATATACCTAGCATCACTGTAATTTAAAAATAAAATTTAAGTGGATACATAATTATAAGAATGAAATCCATAGCCGCTGCGTTATTGCTTGAAGAGAAGAACGAGTCCCAGATTGCTGATGCGGCAGTTGAAAGGCGGAGATTTAGGGACATGTTTGATCTTTTTCAGATGAGTGAAGAGTCATACGGAATTCATCTTGAACTGTATTATTCATCGCTTAAAGTCAGTGAAATTATAAACGTTGTTTGAGCACTCCACAAAATTTGCATTTACTACAGTGGAAGATTTGAACGCAAATGAATCCCATTTTGTAAGCCGTCAGGAGGAGGGGAAGAACAAAGCTTATCTTTCCATAGCAAATCGAATTAGAGGCAACATACGCACCTCTTTTAGTAAAAACGAGTGCAATAATAAAAGCATCTTTTTTATGTAACTTCACATTTTATGTATGTATGTATCTATGTGCATACATCTATTAATTTTATATAAAAAGAATAGATTGCATTCAGTGCATTTCACAGTCTTATTTATAGATAATGTAATCAAAAACGCCTGGACTTCCACTTTGAAAACGTCGACATCCCTTTTGGTTGCCATTATTTGAGCCAATTTTTCGTATTGCCCGTATTACCGCTCACGAAACCACAGAAATCGAGAAAATTCATTTATTATGACTTTTACAATCATGCACAGTATATTTTACTTAAATTTTTTATACAATTTTATTTTTTAAACCCACGAAAATAATTGAATCGTTCTCCGTCAACAAATTTGCAACTTAGAAAAACGGAACTACGATCGAAATGTAGAATACATATAATCGTAAATTTCGAAAATTGATCGAAAGGAAACGGAACGCAGAATACCAAAGTTGCCAAACGGAGAAAATTTCGATTCGAGTCGAAATGTAGAATAGGGCTGATTATCTTCACGGTTACCGAATTCACCAACCTCAACGTAGTGGCCACAGTAAGTTGGAGGCTTTCTTGAAGAGGGATCCAACAGTGAATATTTCGTGCGCCAAATAATCAACGCATTGAATATCGTGCGCTTTGCGCAATTTGCGTTCAATCGCAAAGTTGTCAGAGTTTGGGACACGTTGATGGTTGGGCTTGAAAATTTCCCGTTTGTAGATCAATTCACGAACTGATTTAAGATTTGGATAGCCCCATGTAATATAGGGTGCAACAATCCGTATCATATTAATGGTTGCCTTGATCAATTCGATAAAAAAACACAATTTAATTTAATTAATTACTTTTTTAATACATAGATATGCTGCAACCAGGCACTTACTTTCCCAAATTCCATCTTGCTTATCGGCATAGTTTTCCAAATGTGCCTGAGCTGCACATTTGCTGCTACTTCATACTAATAACTTCATTTTTTAACTGCGCCTTTTTTGCCTCAACATATCCTAAAAAGACATAAAATTTACATTAAACAACGGAAATCGCAAAAATTAGCAAATAAAATACTCCCTTCATTTTGTTTTGTTGTCAAATTTCTGAGAAATATGAATTCACCACGATGAAATACAGAAAGAACAAGGACCAGGGATAAAATTTTAAGTATTCAGTGGCAATGCGCAGAGCGTTCCGAGTAGCAAAATTAATTGGTGTCAAATATAACATTAAACGGTGGCTCTAATACATTTTTTAATATTAATCAGAGTACATACATTATATGGTATTTCTTTCAAAAATTAACGCACTATATGCATTTTTTTTAACTATTTCTTAAGTTTCTATCATCAGTGCTGAAAAGCAACCCTGCGTGTAAGAAATTATGTGGTGCATAAAATTTCACCTCTGGAAATAAAGGACTTCACCACAGTTTTTTTTACTGGATATACTGAGCCTTTTCAGCATCTTCCGCACTCCGTCATTCTCCCACTCACCACTACTTTTTATTTGTTTATAACAGCGAACAAATTTTGTGTACGTATGTTTGTTTGGTTGCGTATATTTATTTTAATAATATTAATAGTGTTTATTTGTATACATCACTTTCACAAAAATATTTAAAAATTTTAAATATTTGTACCAATCTGTACGTAATTTAAACTCTCACTAATACGTGTCTTTTAAAGGCCTGCTCAAACAGGCGCGGTGCGACACGGTGCGGTATAATCCCGTACGATATGCGGTATCAAATACCATGGCGGTATATGGGAGCACTCAAATAGACGCGGTATTGGAAGTGCGGTACACCGCGGTACAGAACTCTACCGCAGCATGCAGCGTTCACCACGCGTTATAAGAAGATATATCGTAAGCAGAGTTGCAATTTAGAGCTAGACTTCTACCACATATTTTATCTACAAAAGTGCTATAGATTATAAATTCTACCTTTTTCATGATAAAAAACGTGAGTTTAAAAGTGCTCGTAATACATACGTGATATTCTTTGGTTTTGTTTCTCACAAAGTAAATAAAATAAAGTTGAACTTTTTCGTTTGTTTGAAAAATGTTTTTCAAATCTGGCAATGTTGCTCAGAAATATGAACGGTAAATTTACTGGAATTTAAAGTTCTTTCGCAAAACGTACATAATGGAGCGCAAATATGGAAATATTTATAAAATCTTTCTTCGTGGTTACGCAGTTGGGGCATCAGGCTGGAAAATTCAACACCTCCTTTTCTTCTCAAATTTATTTCGTGAACCCATCTTCTTTTTCTTAAACATATACATAAATTAAGAACTTTGCAGGATAAAACAAAGATGTAGGCATATTCATACCTTTTGTTTTCTTCATCGAGAAGTGCTGCTAATAGCAATACTTCGTCCTCAGAGCTTAAGCTGTCCATCGCGAAAATCAGATTTATAATATATGTATAAATTTAGATGGAGGAATGCGTATAGTGCCGTTAATTTGAGCTCGTCACATGGCAATAATGTTTCTTGCTATACCGCACTATACTGCACCGCGCCTGTTTGAGTACCTTTGCGTATATCGTTACCGCGTATCGCGCCTGTTTGAGCAGGCCTTAACACTTCGACGAGCGATCAAAAAACACGTCCGTCGGCTTTGACGTTAAACTTATGTTTTATGTTATTAATGGTCGTATTAACTGTACGTATCTTGCAAATTTGCTCAGATTATATATTCCACCGCGCAACCTGAAGAATAATTGGCTGTTTGAGTGGGCAACGCACTCTACCAATTATGGTGATAATGAACCAATTGCTAGATGTGTTAGGCCAAATTTAATTGATTTTGATCGCAACATCAATAAGTTTAAATTAAATGTGTTTATGCAATTTAATTTGTGATTTTAATAGTCTAATTAATCTGGTAGAATTGAATTCCGTAGACTGTAAATAAATAAATAAATGCCGAAAATTAGTATAAAACCTAAGTTAATACTGTAAAAGGATGAAATTCACTAATTTTATTCGCGTATTATTTTTTCCATATATTTTCATTATTTTATCATACATTTTGGTATAAAAATTTCGGCCCCTCGAAAACATTGATATTTAACGAGGCTTTTACGAGTTTAAGGAAGACCCCTAGTTTTCCTACTAAATAGTCCGATTAGAGTGAAAACGGCAACGCTGCTGCTATCCAGGCGGTATTCATGAACCAAAAATACAAGATCACGTAAGAACGCGACGTTGTATTTGTAACTGGTTTTGAGAAAAAAGTTTGCGAAAGCGGGTTCGTCAGCTGAGCGTTTGTTTACATCACCAGCACCACCATTTTACACTTTTAATTCAACATGACAACACATTTTAAAGCATTTTGTTGCATCATTTTACCTAAATTGTGCGTTTAAAGTGGCTGACAACAATTTTGGCTAATGTTGGTTTTCGTTGTTTTCTTTGCTTTGTTTACTTTTCCCTCGTTTTCCAGTGAAACAAGATGGCATAGAACGCGCTAAAAAAAAATCGACTAGCCCCATGAGCTAGGTAAAATTCTGACGGTCTTATTCACCACAAGAAATGTCAGATTTTTACTTTCATCCGTTAAAATTTTCTCTATTGGGCTTGTGCCAATCGGTAACTTTTTTCTCCGTGGTGAGACGGGGTGGAAAAATTTGCTATGGTGTACAAATAAATTGAATTTTGCTGTGCCAAATGCAGAGTAAAATTTTGACAGTTGAAAAACCAAACAACTGCTCGTGCGAAAGCTTTATTTTTGTGTGTTGCTGAAGTTCTTAAAATTTATATTTATTTTATAATTTGCAAGTAACGTACGCTTTTTTATGCTGTTTCAGCTTTCATTTTCATGTTCACTCCTTATTACCGCCAACCCATATTATGTGTATACATGGTTATAAGCTGTCAAAATTTTACCTAGCCCCATGAGCTAGGTAAAATTCTGACGTTCTTATTCACCACGAGAAATGTCAGATTTTTACTTTGATCCGTCAAAATTTTCTCTTTTCCATCATTTGGCACTGGCCCTTTGTGTTTAAAATATCGATATCAGTTATTATCGTTCAGCCAAATGTCGCGCCGATAATATCGTATTGGTATCAAAAAATATCGTAAATTTCGATATATTATCAACAATCCTAGTTTCATACCTATTTGCGAACAAGGCGAATTTGGTTAATTCGCCTTGGTAGCAGATTTTACAGGAAAATGTGGAAATAGTTTAAATATTAAAAATAGTAAAAGCTTAAAGTAAACCCTACGCAATACACTGCATAATTTCCACGTGTTTCCCACTGTCATGCATTGTGCATTTTCTTCGGCCGCCACCAGGAGCCCTTTTAGTCAAGTATATAGAATTTTCGTAGATCGGCGAACGTATTTGCTTTGACGTTTTCGCAGGTTTTTTCACACTTGCCTCCGGAATTGATCCAGCTGTGCATCCCAGAGTAAAGGAAATGGCTGACAACATTGCCATTCGGTGGCTCCGACGCTACAAGTTATTCTTTCTTCTCGGACTTTTAATATTTGGTGTGCAGATATTTCTCGCCTATAAATCTTTAAACATTTCTAGTTCAAATGTTATAACTGCAAATGCAAATTTGTTTTTGGAAACCAAAGCACCGACCTCTCAAAGTAAAAAGCAGTATGTAGCCAACGGAGGTGCCATTCACCATTTTGCCAGAGATGATCATGATGCGAATACACTCTTACGACATAAAGAAATTATAAAAAATGATCCCAATATCGATGCTAATTTTAGATTTTCGGAGATGGATTCCCGTGGCGGTGAGGTAGAATGTAATATTACTGCCAAGGAAGCTATTTCTGCAATGCAGCGAGCTAAAACTAATGACTGTCGCAAGCAAATTGCGCGTATTGCCTGTGCCATCCAGGCGGGCGATTTTTATGCTCAGAAGTTGCCCACTCACTGTCCTGCTGGGAATTACACTCCTAATGCCCCGCTTGGCTGCTTTCAGGATGAAAAGGATTATAGATTGCTGTCGGGATATTTTACAAATTTGAAATCAAGCAATTCTCCACAAAAATGCATACGGCTCTGTCTTCAATCGGGGTTTCCTTATGCAGGAGTGCAGTACGCGACCGAATGTTTCTGTGGCGCAGATGTTCCGCCCCTAACGTCGAAACTACCAGATTCTAGATGCAACATGAAATGCTCCGGCAACCCGCGTTATAGTTGTGGAGGGTATTTAACTATTAACGTCTATGAAACTGGAATTGCAAGTACGAGTGCACAATTTAGTATTAAGAACCTCGTATAATTAATTAAACGAATTTCCCAATTGACCTAATCTCTACAACTTTTGTATTTCGATCTAATGCTTTTTTCCATTAAAAGAATTTACGTCACATATGGCTGAAGCGAGATTTACGAAACCTGACACTGAACGAGTACGGATAGTATTTTTGCTGACGCTTAATGGTCGTGCTCTTCGACAAGTTCATCGGTTAATTAAAACGCTCTACTCCCCAGAACATTTTTTCTATATTCATGTGGATGTGGTAAGTAAGATATCGCACACATTTTAAGTTTTATAATCGGTTAAGCTTATAGTGTTTTCTGTTCTCGAAATAATGGCTTTGTTTCTTTTCTTTTCTATCTTATCAGGAAGAAAAAGAATGAGAAAATTTAAAGAATTACGCTTACAGAGAGCGAAATAACGAAAACGTAAAGAAACGCAAAACCATGATTCCGTTATTGAATCATGGCGCAAAACTAGGACTGCTTTTACACAGTTCAAGTATTGAATTCAATTCTGCTCACATGTGGAAGAGAGGGGGTGAGAAGAAAAGGGACGAGTACACATGCGTCTGTACCGTCAAGTCCTTTCAACATTCTTGCTTTGCTTTTGGCATTTTCGTTGCTTCCCATTTAAAGAACCAAAAACTTTAATTCAACAGAATTGAAACGTGTAAAAGCAAATAGAAAACACAAAACAGAATGAGCAAGAATGGATTTGAAGTACTTGAATCATGTATATCGTTTGTAGCAGAAACTAGCAAGTAATCAGCTGATCGGTGTATTTGACTATTGAAAATAGGAGTGTTCGCTATGCAAAAAATTTGTACAAGTTGGTACCAATTGTTACCAAATCGTGTTCGTTTAGCCAAAAACCCAGTCCCCTTTCAGACACGTTGCTGTCAAGTCTGCTCGTTCGTTGGCGAAGGAGGTGGGAAGAGAGGGGAAGAGTACAGATACCTCCGTACCGTCAATTCGTTTCAAGTTTTCTTGTCTCTTTTGATCTTTTCGTTGCTTACCATTAAAGAACCAAGGACTTGAATTCAATTAAAGTTTGCGCGTGTGGAAGCAAATAGAAAACACAAAAGAGAATGCGAAAAAAATTGTTTTCAAGACTTGACGTGTCTGAAAGAGGACCTAGTAAAACTTGCAAGGAGAGAGCACAATTTTGACATTTCATTTGGAGGGGAAGTTGCAAATTCGTGCTGGGAAAATTTTTGCCAGTTAAGCGAAGCGCACATTAGCGCGATTCCATCGTTGCGAATACGTTGCGAATTCGGCTGTTAACTTCGAATCCGCAAACGCACACTTGAGCGATTTTTTCGCGTCGATTTCCGATGTACAATTCACTCAATTTTCCCTTTACTTCGTGTATTTTCGCACTCGGCGTGCCCAAATCGTACAAAATACTATTATTACGAACGTTTTTATTAGTTTTTGTACATTACACGTTTTTTTTTCTTTGCCTTTATTGCTGTGACACCTTTCTTCTTCTTCTTTGACGCCTTCAAAACGCTGCAAGCCGCGTTTCGGACGCGTCAATAGAGAGGAACATTGAATGTTCGAAAAATTCGCAGCGACGGAATCGTGCAAGTGTGCGCTAGCGCATTAAAATGTATGGGTAGCATTGTTGTAATTTTTGGGCTTGCGGATTCGCAACGACAGAATCGCGCCAATGTGCGCTTCGCTTAAGAATTTGCCAGCAGGATTGTGGCACACGGTTGCATTTTTGTCAACATTAATTTAAATCAACGAGTTCGTTAAATTTAAAAATGAACAATCTTGTTGCGATTTACTAATGAAAGAAGTAGGTAAATTTTCGTTTATTCAATTAATTTAATTAATTCCAAACAATTGGAAGGTACTCGGCTGAAAAAGCTGTATTCGTAATCGGAACGCACTCGACACCACTGTCGATATAGGAAATCCGACAGTGACTTCCACAAACAAATTGAAGCGTATGTTGAAGAAAGTCATAATAAGAAGAAATATACGTATAGGTCCTGTTTTGGTTTCTACCTGCAATAATTTAAAAAAAATTTCGTTTATCCATTTTGACAGCTGCTAGTTTCTGCTATTAAAAATTTTACCAACCGAAATTAGCAGGAGAGCCACGTTGCTGGCAACATACAAGGCAATAGGCCGGCCGGTTCTGAACTA